AAAAAAATAATAAAAAATATATCAAAAGATAGTCCAAAATCTATATTATTTGATATAAAAAAAATTATAAATAAATTATTAAAATTTAAAATTTTTTATATTTAACTTGATATATTATATTTTTATACTTTTATTAATATTTTACAAATAAACTAGATATTAATTATAATTATAAAAATTTTTAAATTACTATTTTTTTAAACTTGTAATTTTATACTCTATACAATAAGTCTTATTTGAAATATGTTTTATAAGTAACCTCTTGACTTTAAAAATTATAATATTTTAAGAAAACGCTTATTTCCACCATGAAAATTTACCATTACTATTTCCACCATTTGACGTAAATTTTCATGACAATATGTTCGTCATGTTTATGTAACTGAAAGTCATATGAAAAGCATGGTGGAAATAGCAAATTTCAATGGTGGAAATAGGCGTTCCCTGTTTAGTTACTTTTATTTGTATATACATAATAAATAATAAATACGTATATACTATATTTTATACACAATAAACACGAAGTTTTTTAAAGAAAATTTGCATAAAACCGGTTTTATTAATAACCTTATTACAAATAAACTAACAAATAACCTGTTTTAATTTACATACGTATTACGTTAAAGCCTTTTAATTAAAATATTACTATATATGTAAAAATCTATTGTACCACAAGTCATATGAAAAATGATCTATAAACATCGAAATTATCATATTTTATCTTTTTTTATTTATGCCAAATAAAACATAAAATAAAATACGAGCGTGGTCAGGGGGAGTTTCCGAATTATGGTTTTAGTTCAAAAATTGAAATACTATTGGCAGATTTAAATTGAGATAATAGCCGGCTTAGCAATATCAAAATTATCGACTCGGCTAAGCTTATACTACAACCACTAAAAAAAAACAGCCTATTATAATGTTTTTAACTTTAACGAATCTGTGAACGTATATCAAATGCAGTCATACGCTTCTTCTCTTTTTTTCCGTTGTTAAATACGTTCCAAAAGCGTAAAGTTTCATCACCGGCACCAGTAACTATATTCTCGCCATCAGGTGAAACAGAAAGGTAGAGAACACGGAGAGTATGTCCTTTTAAAATAGCAAGTTGCTCCATCGTAGGATACTTCCAGAGAATTATTTGGTTCTGAGAGTATCCGTGAGTTGACACAATTTCGTTTGCATGCCTAGACCACGCAAGGTTACAAACCTGAAAATATGTTAATTTTAATCGATAATAAACAAAAAAGAAACTAAAGAAATAAAGGACACAAACTATACCTGAGATTCAGTATCGTAACTCTCCAGGGCTTTACCAGTCGTAGTATTCCAAAATCGAATGTGCTTATCTTGAGAACCACCACCACTTGCCAAAAGACCATGTGAATGTGGACTCCAAGCAATGGCTTTGACAGCTGCCGTATGATGAGGAAATTTATGAAGAGGTACATCATTTGCTCTGTCCCATATCAAGAGCTTATTGTCATTCCCACCACTAGCAAGTTGGTTTCCCTCTGGATTCCACTTGAGTCCACAAACCTAAACATGGACCAATAAATTTGTATTAAATTAATTTGAAAAAAAAAA